CTGAGTATGTTCAAAAAAGGTCATTTGCAGAGTAAAAAAAGAAAAATGAGGTATGTGTGTGAGTTCTGCACAGTAGTTTTTCATTGGAAAAAAAAAAATTTTTGGTGCAGTGCCTTTAAAGCCATGAATGCGCACATACAAGATAATCAACTTTGAGGGGCCTGATTATGAGCAAACTTGAAGACTTTAAGTCAAATCTCAATCTTACAATGGTCCTCCCTAGAATCTCTCTTTTCATGCAGTACTTACACCAACGTATCACTCCTAACAAAGTCCTCCAGTTTAGTAAAACTGAACCATGTCTACTTTTAGAACTAATCATTTGGTTTTTATGGAGTTTGCTGGCAGCATTACACCCCACTGTAGGAAGCACTATGGTGACCTGATTCACTGCAAAAACAAACCAATAGGAAAGCACATTTACCTTCTTGGCTAGCAAACTGCACATGCAAGTAGTTATAATGACAGGAATACACACCTACAGGTTGTTCATGAGATCTTAAGAAACTGCAAAAAGGTTAAACTTTTTTTTAACCTTTATTTGTTGAAAAAGTAGACAAAATTTTCTTTGTAACGTTGCAAATTCAGGTATTTCGGTTCGCAAGGACTACAAACAAGATTGCAAGATTGTGGAAGGACTGTTATGTTGTTATCAGAAATGATATAACTATAGCATTAGTTCAGGCTGAGCCCTATTTCATTTGTGATTCACAATCACTGGCTTGTTCAGCAGCTGTTTGGCTACCAGCCGACCAAAAATATCCAATCATATCCATGATGAAGTTGAAATCTGACACTTCATAGACAGTGCTAATGTTCTCACACCAGTGCCATTTGCTGCCAAAGCTCTCCCCATCACCCCAACCAACCACCCCCTTATGTGCTAAGGTTTTGGTATTGTGATTATTTGATGTTCACGTGTTCTCCCAGCAGAATCCTGGTTGCTGCTCGGCTTCTCGAGATCTCTATTAAAGAGCAGAGCCTTTCTTTTGCCAAATCCAACTTTTTTTTTGGTTTTGGCATCTGCTCCAAATATCCAAGAGGATATTGAGTGTCCCAAACTAGACTGCTGGATGTGTTTAGAAATGTTTTTGAAAAGTATATCCTCCTCAAAGCCTTGTCGCCACAGTCTCAGCCACAGTATCCACAGTCGGTCTCATGTTCTCTTTCTGACTTGTGTTTCGACAGCAGGGTAGCGCCTGCAGCACCTCTTTGAGCCCTTTAGTCATGAATATGTAGAGGAAGGGGTCCACCAGAGGGCTGAGGTAGAGCAGCAGGTGAGACACCAGCCTCAGGTAAGTCACAGTCTCCGTAAAAGACAGAGCCTCCAGGAGGATGCTGAGGATATACGGGACGTAGAGGAAGGTGTAATTAGCCCAGATAGCACTGATCCCCCACACCGCCCTCTTCCTCTCAGGGGTCGATGGGTTGGATCGGGAGCAAATCAGGGCCCTGCAGGAGTCGACAGCAAAGAAGAGTAGGAAGGGGAAAGGAGCGAGCAGAGACACAGCAAACCAGAGGTTATACTGCAGCATGGCGAGGGCCAGGATGGCTAACGGAGCAGCCCACTTCACCAAGGCAACTGCAGGAGACCGCTTGATGCTGCTACAGCAGCCAAGACACTGAGGGTAGGCCACCGAGAGATGACGCTCCTGAGCTATGAACAGCATGAGGGAGACGTTGGAGATGACACCAAAATAGAAGATGAAGTCAGTGGTGCTGGAGGAGAAGACCGTCCCACTCGCCACGTTCGGGTCCACTTTGGGACGACCAAAGAAACTGATAACATCAGACACCAGGAGGAAAACGACATGCATGGGAACTTTGCTGTCACCTGGACAGAGCAGAAGAACAGAAATAATCAGAATGGATAATTCTCATTTCCTACACACAAATGTCTTCATGCACCTGAAACTTTCTGTCATTTATGTCAAGTGGAATCTGAAACTAATCTTCAATGTTTCTCTTTATCTTATATACTTTAAAAAAAATTACTGTTGCTCATACTGTGCTGATTATTACTCCTATGAATTCAACTACTACTGTATGCATTACCACTGAAACTAATATCTTTATTACTATGTCTACTGATACTAGAACTACTACTACAGTTCATACTGATACTAATACATGATACCATTGCTGGTGCTATTGATAATGCCTCCGATACCCATCCAGCCCCTTTCTAAATCTGTGATGTCTGTGTTCTTTATGACTGTCAGCGCTGAAGGTGTATTAATGTGCAAATAAAGCTTTACTTGAACACTTGCTAAAATGACAATGTATTTTTTAGTAATTCATGTTTTAAAATCCAGCCAAACAATGAAAGAAAAACTGTGTCGGAGAACGTGGCATAATTTGTAAATTGGTGTTTACATGATGTTGTTGGACAGACAGCAGAGTGAGTACAAACCTTTGGACAGATTCTTGAGCGTGTAAAGAGCCAGTGCAATGGCAGGCAGCCCAATGCTAAACGTCAACCAGTTGATCACTGTGGCTAAATGCACGGCGGCGGCCGTGGTGTTGCCGGTTAGGTTGGCAGTGATGCTGAGGAGGACGGGGACAGTTGGTGTGTTGCTGTCAGCCATTAGAGGCCACACAGGAGCTATTTGTGTGTTCAACTTTTCAGATTAGCATTGAGATTCTCAGAGTGTGTCACTCTTCTGTTGTTGTAGATTGTAATGAAGACCATCCCAGTCTAGTTTCAATCAAAAACAATAAGGTCAAAATCAGTCCTTTGCAAGAACAAAATAAGCACTAAACACTTAAAAAAAAAAACTTAGAGGCTAAAACAGGTGCACAGGTTTTAATAACCATATCTGTTGAAGCCAGTTACTCCATTTTGTTTCTCTTAATTTACAAAAAAAAAAAAAAAAAAAAAGCATTTAGTTAATAATACATTTTACTTGTAATGCACTTTACATTTACAAATCTCAAAGTGCTACAGGTAAGATCATAAAAGCAAGGTAAAAACATGAATGTATAATATAGATAAATTGTGCAACGACATTATAGTGCAAGTTTAATTAAAACTAAGTCATCTTGAACCAATTTCCTACCTGCGATGAAGGCTTTTGTCCATGAAAAACCAGCTGTCAGTCGAACTTGTTTCTAAAGACTTAACTGCTGAACAGTTTCAGGGTAAGAGTTGACTTCTGTTCAAATATAATTTCCTGCTTTCAGAGTGAGAGACAATTTGTCTGTGTAATAACGGTGTTTAAGTCCAGGTTTGTGTGTGTTTGCGTCTGGTCTTCTTGGAAACCATTTATTGCTGAGCCTCCTTATCTCCACAGAGCTCAGCTGGCTGCTTTGAATGAAGCCTGGATGTGCTGAATATTCTCCATTGGTTTACATGGATCATTCTGTGTGCTCATGATGATGCAGGGAGTGGATATTTGCATGAAAAACTGATGAAATCAATATACTGCAACAGCCTGCATCTTAACATTATTTCTGTATGTTTGTGTGGCTTTACATAGAAAAGGGTGGGCCATCAATTTTACATATGAAAATCAATTTACTTTTCACCAGGAGCCCCACTTGGCCTGTGAATAATGTCTTCATTGGCTCTGGAGAAGCTTTGTCGAGTCATGAAGTAACCCATATGATGTCATAGGGATGTCATCAGGCTTATCTTGCTTGAGCACTTTTTGACAGTGTCATTGTTTATTGTCAACCTTTTCAGCTGTGTTTTCCAGCACTGTATACTATAGGTACCATGTATTAATAAAAATATTAAAGTATAGAGTTTAATTTATTTGTCTATTCTCTAAAATTACCAAATGTTAATCCCCTGTTCCGCATAGTCTGATTTTCTTCTGCTGTACCTACTTTTAAGTACCAGTGAGTATTTTATGTATTGATTTATATGACACTACGACAGACACTAGACTGTACATAGCAGGAAGATACGCAATATATTCTGTACCGAAAAATGCGTTTGTTTACAAGAGAACTCCAGAGCACTGTGAAGTTTCATCTAAACCAGACCAGTAGTGTCTGACAGGCTGCATCTTATGAAACGGACACACACAAAAATAAAATCTGTGCCACCGGGATGCTGCTTTGTAAGCTGGAGTACTTTGTAATCTAAAGCTGAACGGAGTGTAACTTCCTGAGGACAATTGTTGACAGTGTCTTTCAGACAAGTGAACATTTTATGGCCACCGACACGCATGGCCAGAACATACAGCATCTCTTTAAAACTGGTTTGACATTTCTGTTTTGTCAGTAGAATTCCTGAAACAAGTTAAACTCACAGTGCAGGACTTGATGGGTGATGATGCGGTGGAACAGTAAGAGGATGCATGTAGTGACACCTGCTGGTCGTCTGGTCATAGACGGCCGAACCTGGTTAACGTGATAGACATTTAGCAGCACTTACAGTGATATATCGTTTCTTACCCCTAGATCTTTAACATAGCAACCAACTCATTATACGGAGGTCAAAGTTTAACCCACAGTGTGCTGAATACACAAATCACTTATACAAAACAATGCTAATTTTGTAGCACGGCCATGTTGTTAAAACATTCAGAAAATCATTTCAAAAGGTTTAATGTGTTTTTAAAATTTCCTACCTGGAGCCTTGAAGGGATTCAGGGTCCTGCTCAGGGGCTCACAGCCATAGTGGATAAAACTGTCTGCTGATATTCATTTTTTAGTTCTGCTCTATCCTCTAAAATAGGACTGTACATCTGTCCAGAGAAACAGGAACTAATTAATATTGCCAAAGTCAATCTACTGATTTCAGTTTTCCAATCTAGAAAATATCAAACATGAGCCTGTTTTTTTCTTTTACTGGATCCTGATCAGCAGCAAAAACAATGATTACGTTTTCTTTCCAATACAAAGCAAACAGAACACATTTGATCATTTAACGTAGCTGACAAAAGTTAGTTTAATAATAATACATTTTCTGTAAATTGACTGACTACAGTTAGAAATACCTGTTTAGAAGGAAAAATGCAGATGATAAATGACTTCACCCCAGAGAGCACTTACGTTTCACAATTTATTTTCCACATATTCAACTTTTAAATAGTAAATGATAAATCAATCGGGGGTTGAGGTCAATGTCAAGGCTGATCCAACGCTCGATCACAGAAAGCTGCTCTGTACATTGTGGGTTAAAACTTTCAAGTGCGTTAACAGTAGTTTTGACTTTTACAAATAAAACAAAAACGGGCATCCTGACGGCCTAGCATACCACATCGCTGCAATTTTCCCTGTTCGATTCCAGTTGGGGACCTGCTGTTTACGAAGTCCTTCTGTCATTTATGCAGCTGAAGTCAGTCTTTTGATAAGAACTGGATGTTGAGTCTTTGTAAGATCCTGACAGTGTCCTCTATTCTCCTCCCAACCCTTACAGGGGAGGGGGAGGAATTTCAGTGCTGGGGGTCATGAGGGCCTGGATGGCGTTTCTGCTTTATGTTTGTTTGTGGGGTCTAGAACGGTCCCTTCATACACGACCTTGTTCTTGATGCCGTCCTGGATCATCCTCTGCTGCACACGAAGCTTAGCGTTGGACATCCTGCAGTAAAACCTGGAGACGGACACACGGCAGGGTTTCCGTTACAAACAGACGTGGATTACAAACGGAGAGGAAACTGCAGTAAGATGTGAGCTCATGTCGGGAGGAAAAAACAAAACAAAAAAAACCTCCTGCAAATATTGGTTGTGGGTGTAAAGAATAAAAGTGCTCTCTTTAATCGTATGCCAAGAATGAAGTGTCAAGTCACCATAAAGACCTACCAGGACCCGAGTGTGGTGAGCATAAAGCCTGCAAATCCCACGTCAAAAGACCTCTTCACCCGACCTGCACAAAGACAAACAGGAGATGTAGGAATTTTAGTCCAAAATGAACCTCTTTGCAAAAAGTGTGTATTTCTCTCTGTTAAGGGACTTCGGGCTGATTTGTTACATCTAAGTTAAATACAGAGCTTTGCAAATGTTCAGACATACAAAGAGCTTTTGCATAGCTTGTTGTGAAACAAAAGTATAAAATTATTTGACCGTCTTTGAGATCTACACAGTTTCTTTTATGCCAAATTAATAGAAATGTTCTGTTAACTGAAGTTAAATAAATAAAATCCATAATCTCTGATGCCTTAACATATGAAAAAGACGCAGTATACTCACTTTTGATGCACCCCTTTTTCCCCCCCATATGCTACAATGTGAACAACTAAACCATTATTACGCTGCAGCCTCTACTCCTCTCTCAGTGTCGGGGCTGAGCTCCTCCACAAATACAAACACAGAGAGGCCACGGTGGAGACAGTGAAGTGAAATAAAAGGTAACTCACAGATTATTCAAGTTGACGACAACTACGCTTGTTACTGTTAAGTACGTGCAATAAAACTCTTGCGAGTAAAAAGCCAATACTTGATCAATCTGCTGTAGAAAGCAATATTATAATATGCTCTGTCCGCAGTCTCTTATCCACCACCTTTATGTTTTACACAAGCACAGCACATTAGCTCTGCAAATACCAAAGGCTGCCTTCTCTTCTCCCTGTACACCAACAGTTTGCGGACGACACCACCCTCATTGGGCTCATCTCTGGTGGGGATGAGTCCGCCTACAGGTGCGAGATCAACCATCTGGTGACCTGGTGCAGCCAGAACAGTCTGCAGCTCAACGCTCTCAAGACCGTGGAGACGGTCGTGGAATTCAGAAAGAGCACAGCCCCACCCTCCCCATCACCCTGTGTGACTCCCCAGTCACAAATGTGAACTCCTTCCACTTCCCGGGCAGCATCATCTCCCAGGACCTCAAGTGGGAGCTGAACATCACCTCCCTCACCAAGAAGGCCCAGCAGAGGATGTACTTCCTGCGGCAGCTGAAGAAGTTCAGCCTGCCAGAGACAATGATGGTGCACTTCTACACCGCCATCATGGAGTCCATCTGTACCTCCTCCATCACCATCTGGTACGCTGCTGCCAATGCCAGGGACAAGGGCAGGCTGCAGCGCATCATTCGCTCTGCAGAGAAGGTGATTGGCCCCGATCTTCCATCACTTCAGTGACCTGTACGCCTCCAGGACCCTGAGGCGAGCAGGAAAGATTGCAGCTGACTCCTCCCACCCCGGACACAAACTGTTTCAGACTCTCCCCTCTGGCAGGAGGCTGCGGTCCATCAGGACCAAAACCTCTTGCCACAAAAGCAGCTTCTACCCATCTGCAGCCTCATTAACAAGGCCCGGGTCCCTCACTGACACTCAAATACTGGAAATGCCTCTGCACATGTGTTATTGCCACCACCTTTATCTGTGTATATGTATCTGTGTTGTGCAGCTGTGTGTCATGTTAAGAAGAATATGTGATCCCTTGCTGAGGATTGAATGTGTGAATATGTGATCCCTTGCTGAGGATTGAATGGCAAGACCTGCCTACTTCCTGGTTCCGGCCGGTGATCTGATTGGTGTGACAACTGGCAATCTCCTCCAATCATCTACCGCCTTCCAGACCCCCCCCCCCCCATTTAAATAGCTGCCTCTCCTGTTGAACTTGGCAGTTGTGATTTTGCCCTTGATCATCTCGCCTCGTTTGGATAGTGCTCCATTGTAGTGAACGTGTTAAATTCTGTAGGAGATTTAGTTCAGTGATTTACAAGAGTAAGATCTTAGTGTTTCCTGTGTTACCTTAATCTGTGAGCTGTGGTAAGGAAATTGGGCAACGATCTTTGTGGGGTTAACTGACACCAACCAGACATCTGTTGATTCATTTTATGTTAGACACACTAGGTTTGAGGGTGCTGCTCATTTTGTGTTTTGATTATTGATGACAGGTCAGAGAGAGTTTTGTTTAAGTTGATTTTGAAGTAGCCATCTCTCTTTTTGGAGAGACCTCTTTAAGTTATTTTTTATTTTTTTCCATTATTTTTGTAAACCCTGAAAATAAATAACTTGCCATTTTACCAAAAACATTATGGTTCATGTTGCTTCCCTTTTCCCCACGAGCCAATGAGAGTATCAATATGAAGTGTTTAAATTAAATCCTATTGATACCCGTTCAAAAAACACATTTTTTGGGGACCACTCAAATGCCCGTCCTTGAGACCCTAGAAAAGTTACACTTGTCAACCATCCAATTAGGCTAATTCTCAAAACCCGTGATAAACGAAGTAAAACAATCACTTAATGGGCAAAGGAAAGACACAGACAGTCCAGACTCACTCGTGGCCAGGAAGTGTAGTAGACCGGCGGTCAGTGAGCCCCCGGCTCCGTGTAGGACGGCATCTCTGGCACACGGAGTATTCTGGACATCCAGAATCCCCAGCAGCCTGAAACCCTGAACGACAGACAAAGACAAAGTAGACCTTAAATGTGACTTCTTTTCTCTTACATTAAGTGATGTTGAGACCTGCTATAAATTCCTACATAAACGTAATGGAAATTGAATGTGCACATTTTTATCCATCGTAACAAAGACTAAAATCACCTGTATTTATAGTTATTTTACACATGCTTTGTTTTGATTATTGATGAGTATGCTCAAGATCAAGATAAACTTTGTTGTCCTCTGAGGGAAATTTGTCTGGGGCATTGCACAAGTATATGAGACACTGAATCAATTAAGACCTGAGGATGCTCAAAACAACTGAGTGATTCTGTTCAGTCCACGAGCAATAAAATAACAACAACTTCTTAAAAAAATAAATAACCCCTTTCAGAGCAAGGTAGTCAAAATTTACAACTACTTGCAAACATGATTTAAATAGTAAACAATATTGAAAGTATAAAGTGGCAGAAGTACTTCAAGACTGTTGGTGTATTGTCTCGTCCCTTTGTAACACTGTGTGTGAGTTTAATGTGTGAGTTTATTGTCCAGAGAGCAGCCAAGCCAATGTTTTTCAATGGAAATGCATAGTTTGTATTTTAATGCACATAAAAGGGAGAAATCCTCGTAGTAGTATGACTCAAGACGTTAATACATTCAGTATCAGCTGCCGCCTGAATGAAGTCTATGGTTTCAACCGATCACCAAGCAAAAAGTACAGTGAATAATCCGTAAGACTAATTGTTCAGTGTTGATGTGTCAGAGGACCTTTCCCCTTCCGCGAAACGTAAAGTCAGTCAGACTTCGGGCATAAGTTAATCTTAAATTCTTAAATATTTGAAAGGGGTTTGGTTTGAACAAGTAATTTCTGCTAACGTTTTATCTCGCTAGCTTTATTACTGCCTTACTAATTTATGTCAACATTAACGTCAGCTGTGCTTTTGTTATGTCTGAGTTTCAGTTTCTACTTCTCCAGTGTTTGAACGCACGCAGCTTTTGCTTTTAGATTCACACACTTCGCTACTTCACCAAGAGAAACTATGAGAACTTAATGAATCAGCTCACAGCTCCTGGACGCTGAAGTTGACCTTCTGAAAACGGAAGCTAGCAAACTTCTTCTGTTTCTTTTGCAGCTTAAGGTTATTTGAGACCCTCACCTTGCTCTTGGTCTGCTCTTCTTCTCCTGCCATTGTACCACTGCGTTTGACTCCTTGTGCAAAGTTTGCGCTGAATTTATCCTAAAGACACCGTCATGTAACAATCATTTTCACAGCGCATTGGTCACGGCGCATGCGCTTTACCTACCAAAGGGGTCCGTCTGCTTTTAATCGCCGACTCGAAAAGAGAAAATGGCAGATGTATAGTTCCGATATTCATGTTGGTATGTAAATTAAATATATAAAATGTTCGTCTATACTTTGGATTATGTTTGCTAGATATATAATGTGTATCCCCCCCCATCATGTAGTGTTTGTTTATTTCTAGCTTTTTAATAGCCTTCTTAGGCTATTTGTTTTTGCATCGTTGTATCCACACTGTTTGTTTTAGTTTTTTTTAAGGTTATGTTTATGTGTTACTGCTTCTTCCTATTTAGAGTTGCATTTAGGTTACAAGTTGTTGACATGTTACACCAAACGAAAAAAAAGATAAAAGATATCGAAAGTCTTACTGTGGGTAATTTGGGCTATTTAGGCTACAGCAAGTATCCTTATTTATTCATTTAACTATCCTTGTTATTTTCTAAATATATATTTATTTTTTAAATGAGCAAATACAAATCCTGCAACTTAAGTTTCTTATTCCTATTTTTGTTTAAGACATATGTAAACACCCAGCACAAAACTAGGCTACGGTAGCTAATAAACAGTATTTTACAATCAAATGTGCTGAAATTTACAAGAGTAAAATTTTTTGGCAGCTTACAGACGTGGGTTAGATATTTTATTTTATATTCTAAATACGGTTAAGTGTCTCTTTGCTTCTGCAACTTAGTTTTCTACTGTGGGATCTACCAAACCTCCCAGAGAATAAAGAAGTAGTTAATGAAATTGAAATACCGGCTGGATTACGGAAATCTGCTCATTTGTCGCAAACAGGAAACCTGAATCATACTGTGTCATCTTAACCCATTAAAAAACTTAATTCTCTAAACGATAGGATCAAAGTCATGTCAGGAGGAAGTCCGCGTGTCACAGTGATCCCACACTGATAGAACAGGATTATTTCACCGGCAGCAGAATACTAACCTGCCTGACAGTCTGCATCCTGCTGTATCCAGCCTTTCTGTAAACCCTTAAAACAGCCTGGAACATAGACTATTTAAAAAAAAAAAAAAAAAAGCGATTTGTAGTAATGTACCAGTAGGTTAAACATAGGTCTTTTAACAAGTCGTTAATATAGGCTATGTTCCATATATTCCTATCACGTCATAGATAAAACAGCACTTTGTACACTGAAGATACGCCTATCAGTATTTTACTGGTAACCGTAGGACTTTTGGCACATTTTTTTTCAGCTGCCCTCCTTCTCCCTGCCATAATTCAATTCAATTCAAAAACGTGGGTATACTATCTTATAATAAGTTCCCAGGTTGTGCCCTATATCAGTTATGGCAAGACCATGTAGCCTACTGTGCTGAGTAGCAAATACATACAGATAATGTGTACAGCTCTTAAAAATACGCGTTCCCATACCGGGAGTCGAACCCGGGCCGCCTGGGTGAAAACCAGGAATCCTAACCGCTAGACCATATGGGAGACAATTTCATAAGACACGTCTCTTACTACAGACAGCATTATTTAAATAATAATAATAATAATAATAATATATAATATAATAATAATAATAATAATAATAATTGTAGCCTGTTAACTCCGTTACAATTATAAATTACAACCAGCCTCAGTTTAATCCCTTCCTCTGTCAAAAAATACTAAAGTCACAGTGGCCTTGAGCAAGGCACTGGAACAGCCTTTATAATCTTTATAATTCTGGCATTGTAACAGGATGTAAAAGTGAGAGGTCCTAATCCCCCAGATTAAGTAAAGGTTTAAACTGTACCATGGTCCTCCTTGTAACAAAAACAGGTCACCGGGGTTGACATCTCATAGAGCAAGTTTCATCCTGGATACCAGGCCCTCTGTGCTGAATAAAG